TCCCGGAGCGTTCCCGGCCCCCCCGCGCGGGGCAGCGACACGAGTGGTCATGTCGCCCTCGTGTGGCACAGCACCGTCACTGCAGCCAGCCCGTTGCCCGCAGGTTGATGCGGTGCAGTAAATGCAGCGCCGCGGGTGCAGTAAATGCAGCGCCGCGGGTGCAGTAAATGCAGCGCTGCCGATGCAGTAAATGCAGCGCCGCGGATGCATTAAAATGCCGCGCCCTGGGTGCATTAAATGCAGCGTCGCCGCTGCTCCTGACAATTCCAGCCTCCATCTGCACTTGTTCTTCATCCTCAAAGGGCAGAAAGCTTCTACATGGCAGCACCTCTTCACTTGGCTTGGTCCTTGTCTCCTCCCAGACTCTGCTGTGGAGTGTGGGCTGCATAAACTGGCCTCCATCACTCTCTCCCTCCATCCCAGTTTGGGATCTGGTTTGGATTCCAGACCAAAGTTTGAGGCCATTTGTCTCTGGATGCTGCCTGTGCACAGCTCTGCTCTTCTGACAGTGGGGTGCAGCGAGGTTGGGGTCAATCCCTTCTCCCGGGAAACAGGGACAGGATAAGAGGAGATGGCCTCAGGCTGTGCCAGGGCAGATTCACGATGGATATTGGGAAAATCTCTTCACTGAAAGAGTGGTCAGGCATTGGGAGAGGCTCCCACAGCAGCGGTGGAGATCCTGTCCCAGAAAGAATCTAAAAGCTGGGTAGATGTGGCACTTGGGGACATGGCTTTGAAGTGACCTTGACAGTGCTGGTCTTGTGGTTGGACTCGATGCTCTGAGAGGCCTTTTCCCACCCCAGCAGTTCCATGGCTCTGCAGGGCTGTGCTTGGCAACGCTGCTGTGCAGCCCCGGAGTGAATCCCAGGGAGGCTGCCCAGCGCTGGCGGCGGGAGCTGCCGTGCCCAGCAGAGATGGAGAGGGGCCACTAACACCGCGTCTCTCCCCAGCCTCCACGCTCTCCCAGCTGTCGGACAGCGGGCAGACCCTCAGCGAGGACAGCGGGGTGGACATCGGGGAGGCCGAGACGAGCGGCAAGGACAAGAGCCGGCAGCCAGGCCCCGGGAAAAGCCGGAGCCCCAAGGAGGCCGTGAGGAGCGAGGGGGCGGCAGAAGGGGCCTCCAAGCCGGTGAGGGGAGCCTGGGGTGCTGCTCTGTGCCCCGCTGCCTTGGCCAGCCCGTTCCCCCCCTCTGCCCGCAGGCAGCGACCGCTGTCCATGCTCAGCTGGGCTGTGTCTCCTCTCTGCTGAGGCCAGTCAATTCTCTGGGGGGCTGAGCTGTGGGGAAAGGGGTCAGGAGTGGCTGAGAGGAGCACTGTAAGGCTGATTGACTCCATCCTGGGTAAATCCCATCCCTCCCAAGGCCAGCCAGCAGCTACCTGGGGCATGGGAGAATTCCTGGCTCTAAAGGGACATCCACAAGCTGCATGAGTGAAGTCACCCAAAGGGAAGGTGGCAGTGGGTGTCAGACATAACTCAGAGGCTTTCTGGTGGTGGTGAAGCTGAGGGACACAAGCAGGCAGGCAGAGAGCTGCTCTTCTCCTTCCCAAACCCTTCCAGACCTGCCCAGAGTTGGGATTTTAGACCTGTCAGGAGTCAGAAAGCACCTGCAGGGCTGTGTGTGTCCCTCTGTGGTGGCAGCCAGTGTCCCTGCCTGCTGTGGGGCCCTGGCCAAGGGAGCACAGCTGGCACACGGTGTCCAGGCCCCTTTGGCAGTGCTGCCATCTGTCCCCACAGCCTGGGCTCCTGGAGCCCACGTCGTGTCTGATCCGGGTGTCCAAGAGCGCTCCCACCTTGGGCATCGCCATCGAGGGCGGCGCGAACACGCGGCAGCCGCTGCCCCGCATCGTCACCATCCAGGTAGGGCGGGCTGGCAGGGGGCAGCTCCGGGCACTCCCAGCCCTCTCCTCCCTGGGCAGGCTGGGGAAAGCCCTGCAGCTGTGGCCAGGGGGATTTTGGGGGCCTGCACCTCCCCAGGCACCGTTCCACAGTGTCTGTGTCCCGTGGATGATCCCATCCCAGAACACACCTCCTGGGAGCCGGCTGTGTGCTCTAGACATCTCCGAGAGGATCAGGGCAGCCCTGAAAGCTTGGCTGCTGGCTCCAGATGTCTGGAAACTGCCAGACAGAGGATTGAGGAGGGGGGATGGTGGATGGGAGCCAGGGGACTGAGCCCTCTGGAGCTGTCTCCCTGTTTGCTGTTTACTTGGGGCAAAATTCAAGTTATTTACAACAAAAAAAAGCAGAGCCAACTCTGCCTTGGTTATTCTTGGCCATCTCAGCTGGCGTCATGCTCCAGGAGCAAGCAGGGGGCAAGCCAGCTTCATCCCCTCTCTCCAAAAAAGTGAACTATTTCACATCCATCACGTCAGATATGAAATATCTCCCAGTTTTTTCCCCCCTGCTTGATGCAGGGAGTGGTGGGAACATGAGGGGAACACGAGCTGACGCCTCTCTCTCCTGCAGCGGGGGGGCTCGGCGCACAACTGCGGGAAGCTGAAGGTGGGACACGTCATTTTGGAGGTGAACGGCACAGGCCTGCGGGGCAAGGAGCACCGGGAAGCCGCCCGCATCATCGCCGAGGCCTTTAAGCTGAAGGACAAGGACTACATCGATTTCCTGGTCACAGAATTCAACGTGGCCCTTTAGGAGCGGGGTTCGGGCAGCGCCGGGGATGGGGATGAGGGATGGCCCCAGGTGGGACAGCCCGCGCCGCCCCGCACATGCAGACACCCCCAGCTTGTCCCCAAATGTCCCCACGCCCGCTGCAGGCTCCCTGCCTGGGTAGGGCAGGCTGAGAACGGGCACATCCCTCCCAGTTTCCATCCCTGTCCTCTCCGGGGTGAGAATATCCTCTCCCCCTCAGCCAGGCTGCGAGCAGGGCAGGAGGGCGGCACGGTCTGGGTGTCCCCGCTGTCATTTGAGTGCCACACACAGAGCAAGGGGGGCCCGTGGCTCGGGATGGAGGGAGCGTCAGGGGGTTGCTGCTCCTTTGGGTGGTCCCCAAGGTGCCCAGGTGCGTGGTACCAGCCACGGGGGGGATGCAGAGAGAGCGACCGGAGGCCTTGTAAATTGCTGGCAATGTTGTCGTATTTATATATACAGAGCTTGTGCTTTTAATTTTTCAATAAATCTATCAGGGTAGAAAAAAGGCTACGCTTGGGGGGTGCTTTGGGGTGGGATGAGGGGGTAGGAAGGGATAGGGATGCCAGGATATTTTCCCTGGTATCCTGGAAGCTTCCCAGGGTGGCAGGGTGGGTGGGAGTGCAGTGGTGGTGGTGGTGAGGGGATGCTCTATGTCAGCCCCATCCCATCCTTGACCCATCTAGTCCTTTTTCCCATCCTATACCATGCCCAGACCTATCCCCATTTCATTCCATCCTACCTCATTCTTTCCCATCTCAATCACTCCTCATTCCTACCCCATCCCTTTTCTACTTTCATCTAAATCCTTTCCAAGGATCTCTGGGATTGGCCATCCCTGGATCCCATCCCATCCTATGGATTCCATCCCATCCCATGGATCCTGTCTCATGTATCCCATCCTGTCCTTTGGATTCCATCCCATTCCATGAATCCCATCCCATCCCATTCCATGGATTCCATCCCATCCCATGGATCCCATCCCATCCTCTGGATCCCATCCCATCCTCTGGATTCCATCCCATCCCATGGATCCCATCCCATCCCATCCTATGGATTCCATTCCATCCCATGGATCCTGTCTCATGCATCCCATCCTGTCCTTTGGATTCCATCCCATTCCATGAATCCCATCCCATCCCATCCCATGGATCCCATCCCATCCTCTGGATTCCATCCCATCCCATGGATCCCATCCCATCCCATCCTATGGATTCCATCCCATCCCATCCCATCCCATGGATTCCATCCCATCCCATGAATCTCATTCCCATCCCATGGATTCCATTGATCCCATCCCATGGATCCCATGGATCCCACGGATCCCATTGATCCCATCCCATGGATCCCATGGATCCCATCGATCCCACGGATCCCATGGATTCCATCCCATGGCATCCCGGGAATGGGCAGCGCCTCGCCAGGGGGTGCCCGCGCTGCATAAATTATGCCAATGATATTCCCCCAGCCGCGTTCTGATTGGCCGCCAGCCGCCGGATATGCAAATAAAAGGTGGGCGGGGTTATGTGACGACTTCCCGCTCCGCGCGCGGATTGGCGGAGTGCTGCGGTATGCTAATGAGGGAGGCCCCGCCCCCTAGCGCCGCGGGCCGCGCTTTTGTCCGGCGGGGCCGGGGAGGATCGGAACCGGGACCGGGATCGGAGCCGGGATCGGAGCCGGGACCGGGACCGGGATCGGTGCTGGCATCGGGATCGGCACCGGAGCCGCCCAGCGCCGGCCGGGCCCTGCCTACAGGTGGGCAGCGCGGCGCTCGCGGGGCTCAGGGCGCCTCTCCAGCGGTGCCCTCGGGCCAGATGTGCCCCAGCTGTGCCGGGGGGCCGGGAATGGCTCGCTGCTCCCCGCCAGCCGCCTGCACAGCTGGAGGGAAGGAGAGGGCCCCCGGGGCGCCGCTGGAGGCACAGCTGGAGGCGCAGCCCGCGGGCCCCATCCCGGGGCCGCCTCCAGAGCTCCCGGCTCCGCTGAGCCCGGCTCGGGCAGGGCTGGCTCGCAGCCGGGAGCTGCCTGGGGTCCCTGGGCGGAGCGGGGACACCCCCAGTCCCGGCGGGGTCCCTGCGGCCGAGGCCATGGGACACATCGGGAGGATGCGGGACACGCCGGGAGGATGCGGGACACGCCGCTCCTGGCCGAGGCGTGTCCTCCCCACGCCATCGCAGCCTTCGTGGCTCCGAGGAAACTTGTCAGAACTTTTCTTCTGGCGGTGCCTCCTCCCCGCCGGGGCCGGAGGATTCCGGGAGAGTTTCGTCAGGGGCTGCGGAGGCGGCTCGGAGGCACGGCCGGGGCTCGGCGGAGGCTGCGGGGCCGGGAGCTGCCGGCGGCTGCTCCGAGGAAGTCGCCGGGGCAGCGATCAGCTTCAGTTCCGTGTTGTCATTTAAAGGGCAGCCGTGTTCATGGCAGCCGGTGGTGCCCGCGGGTGTCCCGTGCTCCGCCGCAGCCTTTCGGCGCCTTCCGGGCAGGGCTTAAATCTCTTCTTAAAGTTCAAGGGCAGCCGGGGAGCGCGGCACGGCAGGCGCTGTCCGTACGGGCTGGGAGAGATGGGGATGGAAAAGCTCCAGGGAGAGCTCAGAGCCGCCTAAAAATGCTCCAGGAGAACAGGAGGGGCACTTGGGACAAGGGATGGAGGGACAGGACACGGGGAATGGCTTCAAACTGACAAAGAGCAGGGCTGGATGGGATACTGGGCAGAAATTCTTTGCTGTGGGAGGTTGAGGCCGTGGCACAGAGAAGCTGTGGCTGGTTCATCCCAGCACAATCTCCCCTGCCGTGTCCCCGCCCGCTGCCCCGTGCTAAGAAGGGATCGGTGTGGCGCGGGGACAGCGCTCTCCAGACGGGGATTAAGGCTGTCCTTCAGGGCATTGCGGCCATCCCTGCGGGGATTCAGCCCCGGGGTGTCCCCAGCGGGGACAGGAGTGCCAGCGAGGAGGGAGGAAAGAGGCGCTGTCCTGCCGTGGGGCTTTGCTTCGGTGCAAGTGATGGGAAAATGACATTTCCAGGGGGTTTTGGTGTCTCTCCGTGGGGGTGTGCCAGTAAGGGGGGCTGGGGGGGGTAGGACATGGCTCCTCCAGCTGCTGGAATTGGGGTGACACGCGGGTTTTGTGGTGATGGTGACAGGTGTGTGCTTTCAAGGGGCCAAGGAGATTTGTCAGGCTCTTCCTCGCTGTGATGGTCCCTCCCTTGTTCTAGTAAGAAATAATGCAAACTAAGAACGCAGCGTTTCCGCTTCTCTGCCCTCTTTCATGCCTATAAAAACGGGGCTCTGTGGGCTTTAAAAAAGGGTTTATACATCAGGAATTTCTCCCTCCTGGAGCGCAGACATCCCTTGCCAAGTTTCAGCCCGAGGCCGTTCTGGCCTCCTAAAAAGAGATGCAAAACATCTCTTGCCTGGGACGGGCTTGAGCCCCCCCTGCATCCCAGACGAACACAGATGTGCAGGAGGGGCTTTAACCCCTCCTGGCAAGTGGTTTTGGGACACTGGGCAATTCCACATCACTCAGAGAATGTGGGGAAGGAGGCGGGGGGTTTAGCGCCCCTCCATCCCCCTGCTCCGCCCGGGGTTGACAAGGCAGTGAAGGCAGAGTGACAGCAGCCCTGTCCCCCCCTTCCCTGCCACCGAGCGAGCCCTGGGGCGGAGGATGCTCCTGTCTCCTCTGCTGTCACCGCTGATAAACCCAGGAGCCACGATGGCTTCGTGCTGGCCCTGATGGCTGCTGCTTCCCCGGCCACCCGCGGGATGGGCTGGGCGGGCTCAGCCTCGCCTCCGGCTCTGCCGCGGGGCCGGGAGTGGGACAGGGATGGGATCGCTGCCTGCCGAAAGGATCGGGGCTTTGGAGGGGCAGACAGAGCCCCCAGCCCTGCTGGGAGCATCCCTCCCTCAGCTGAGCCCCTCAGCCACAATTTGGGACAGCCCTGGCTGGGCTTTGTAGGGCAGGAGAGAGGCTGAGGGGCTGGGGCAGAGCAGAGTTCAGGCTTTTTTAGCTGGGGCTTTTAGATTTCTTTTTAGCTCTTCTTCCAGTTACATGTTGCAAAAATCCCGGCTTTCCAAGAGGAAAATTAAAATGTATGGATATATTTCTGCACACTCATTTGGGAATGTTTCTGTTTGATTTGTGGCTGCTGAGCACGAAGCCACATCATTTTTCAAGCTTTTCTGTGCTCCCATAACAGTGAGAAAATCACTTAGAGGGGAGGAAAAGAATCTGAGAATTTTTGCTCTTGCCACCATGACCATCAGCAGAGGGATTTTCTGGGAAAGCAATGCCTGTGGCTGGGTTTGGAAGTGGCTCCTGCAGACTGCAGCTGCTGTGGGGCTGTGCACTGCTCAGAAATGGGGTGACAGCATGTGGGTTAGACATAGCCTCCTTCAAGAGATGCAAAATTCCCATCCCTTGCGCAGGATGGGGTTAAAGAAACACCAGAAATGGATTGGGAATGGTTTAACCCCCCTCATCCCAAGAGAACAGGACCCCCAGGCTCCTCTCACCCAGCACTCTCCATCTGGGAATCCTGGGCATGGTGTTTGGGGCTCCTCATGGCTCTGGGATCCTGCAGGGCTCCAGGTGGGATGGGAGGAACTTTGGTGGGGATCTCTGGGCTATGTGTAAGGACTTGGGGCTGGAAACATCCCGGCTCAGGGAGGAGCTAAAGCCAAAATCCTACTTTGGTTTCAGTAGCTCCGGGTCTGAAGAATCCCATGGGCAGCCATGTCCTTCCCGGTGGCAGGAGAAGCTGTGGAGCATCCCCAGGTGTGGAGAATGGAATTATCCATTCCCCAACTCAGTGTGGGGGAGAAAACCTCATGTAAACCCCCCAGGAAGTTTGCAAGACCCTACAGGATGCTTTGGGGTTTGCTCCTGCTCCGAATGCCCCAAGGATGCAGGGAGGGCTGGGGGAAAGGCTGATGCAAGGATGATGCCCTTGATGCTGAGTGGTGCTGGAAAATAACCTCAAACCTCACAAACACCTGAGGAATTTGCAGATGTGAGGCTTGGGAGGGGATGAGAGGACTTTTCCCATAGCATGTGGCTGTGTGGATAGGTTTATGCCTCATCACCACCATCCCTGAGCCAACAGCACCCCAAAATCACCACAGCACCCTCTGGCTACGAGCAGCCACCCCAGGGATGGTGCTGTGGTTTCATTAGCTCGTCAAGCTGTCCTCTGCGTGCCACTAATTACACATTAACGAGCTGGCTTAATTGACTGCCTGTGAATGTGCCAAGACAGGCCACAGTGGCTGGATGCAGCCACAGCATCCCTGGGAGTGTGAGCAGCATCCCAGGATGGGGCCAGCTGGACCCTCCCTTTGGAAATCTGGAGGAATTTCCAAGGATGGCTGAATTTTGGGGCTTTAAAGCTTAATTTTAGGTCTCCTAGAAGATCCTCATGCTGATATTTCTTGGACCAACTGCTGGTGGTCCCAGGAATCTCCCTCCCCTCTCTTCCTACAGCATTTTGCTCTGAACTGGATTAAAAAATAAAGGTTTTGATGGAAAATGCTGTGGGAGGAGGGTTCAGTCCCCACTGCGCAGGGCCGGATGGGGTTAAAACTTTTGTGGCCACCTGCAAACTTGCAGGAAACTTCATTTCCTCCTTCTGCAAAAGCTCAGCTGCCCCACAGGCACAGGAAGGTTTCAGGGGCTCGGCAGGCCTCCCCATGGGGTCACAGTGATGGGGATGTCCTGAGGCTGCTGGTGCAGGGTGAGTGTCCCCTGCATGGGGCTGGTGGTGCCTGGTTTGGCCACCCCACGCCAAAATTTGGGCTTTTGGGGCTCAAATCCAGCAGAGGGGACACGGGTCGGAAAACCCCGTGGCCTTTCTTGCCACACCCCACATTTGGGGCTTTGGCATCCGGTGTTTCTCCAGCTGCTGGTGGAATCCCCGGGTGGGGGCGAGGGGGGAGCTCATGCTTTGGGATCATCAGGGGCATTTGTGTGTTGGGTCTCTGCTGTGACCCCACATCCAGAGGGGTCTTTGGGGTGCTCCTGCCTCCCCAGCACTGTTGGTGGTCCCCAGGTGTGGCTGCCCAGCGGGGGTGACATCCACAGGGTGCCAGCATGGGCTGGGTATTCCTGGGGTGGGGGGAAACCTTTTGGGGTGGCCCTGAGGGGCTCCTTCCCCACGAGGACCTCACGGCTGGCAGAGATGTGGCAGCCACAGTGGGGTGCAGAGTGGGGAGGTCTGTTCTGAGGGTGTCCCCCCTGTCCTGGGGATCTTGTCCCCGGGATTTGGGGGACAGGGAAGACCCTGCCAGCGTGGGGGAGACACCTCAAACAGAGCCCACCATGTCCCACATGTCCCACTGAGCATCCCTCCCTCTCCCCCGGCCCCCCCAGGACGCGGCGGCGATGCTGTGACCTACATTCGCGACAAGGAGGTCCCCAGCCCGCCGCCACCGCCGCCGGGCCATGAAGCGACACAAGTGACAGGGCTGGGCGGCCGCGGCCATGGCCAGCCCGGCACCATGGCTGCGCTGGACACAAACAGAGCTGACGCGCTGGCCCGGCCAGGAGGAGGAGGAGGAGGAGGAGGAGGAGGAAGACGACTTTGAAAGGCGGATGGACGAGGATGGGGTGATTGGCCTGGGGGAGGGTGCCAGGAGCCCACCGTGGGGTGAGTCCTGCCCGAAAGGCTTGGTCCCAAATGTCCCAGGAGCTGCTGGAGCCCGGGGGCCGGGGACACCGGCTGGGGCTGGGTGGTGACAGCCCCGCGGTGCCGGTGTTTTGCAGGTGACAGTGAGGACCTGGAGGAGGGGTCCCCGGCAGAGGAGGGACGCTGGCACCCGCGGCAGGACCCGGCCGAGGAGGATGAGGAGCGGGGCAGCTCCGGGGGGGACGAGGGGCCCTGGGGGGCAGAGAGCGATGGGGACCCCTACCCCGAGCTGTCCCCTGGGGGCTGCTGGGGCTCGGGCTCCAGCGGCAGCCCCGAAGCGGTGAGGGACGGCCGGGCTCTCTGCCAGCCCCGGGGCTGCAGCACGGACCGGGGGGACACCTCAGGGCTCTCGGACACCAGCCCTGGCCCTGGCACCCCGTCCCGCCAGCACCAGGACTGGGGCACGGCCGCGGACACCATCGGGGGGCACAGGCAGGAGTGGAGCCCGAGACGGAGCCTCCCCCTGCAGCTCTCCGCCGATGGCCCCAGCCCCGAGCGTGTCCCCGAGCCGCAGAGAGCTGGCACAGGGATGCCAGCCCCCGGCACCGCTGGCTTGGCACCCGCCGGGCAGCCCCAGGGCGCCGGGAATGCCCGGGCACCCCAAGGGCACGGCAGATCCCGAGCGCCCAAGAAAGCAGCGCCCGCGGTGGTGCCCCCCAAGCCCGCCCGGCAGTCGCGGTCCCTGAGCCCCCGGAGGCGAACGGGTGCCAAGGGGACGAGGGATCCCTCGGGAACGGGCACCGAGGGCACCCAGTACGGCCGAGGGCGGCTCAACCACCCCCTGCCCGACCTCTCCAAGGTGGAGGCGCGGGTGAAGTTCGACCAGAGCTACCGCCCGCCCCGGGGCCGGGTGCTGCCCGCCCGCCCCCGCGGCCCCGGGGGTCCCATCGGCTTCAAATCCCCGGCCGAAATCGTCCGGGAGGTGCTGCTGAGCAGCGGGGAGGGGGTGTCCCCGCAGCCCCCCAGCACGGCCGGGCTGCCGCAGGAGTTCAGGTCGCCCAGACAAGCCACGGCGCTGGTGCAGCAGCTGCAGGTAACGCCCAGCACCCCCCGTTCAGCCACAGGGCCCTACCGGGAGGGTCTCCAGGGTGGGGGGAGCAGGGCGTGCGGGGGAAATGGGTGTCACTATCTCTGGGACGCCCATAGGGGTTCGGAGCCGGTCAGTCCTTCCCGGTCCTGCCTGGAGCTGGCGAGGAGGGAAGGAGCAGGGATGTGGGCAGTGCTCAGGCTGGGGACAGGATGCTCATGTCCCCCCGGGATGCCGGTCACCCCCACAGAGCTTGTGACCCTCAGGATGTTCGTCCCGCTGGGAGGAGAGGGGGCTCTCCCCATCTGCACAGAGGGATGGGGTGTTTTGGAGAGGCGGTCTCTGCACCCCACCCGTGGGACTCCCGCTCCGTGCTGTCCCCGCACAGAGCTGCAGCACCCAGCCCTCGGGCACCCCCCGTGCCGGTGCTGTCCCCCATGGTGTCCCCTCCCCGCAGGACGACTACCACAAGCTGCTGACCAAGTACGCCGAGGCTGAGAACACCATCGACCAGCTGCGCCTGGGCGCCAGGGTGGGTGGGGGCTCAGCATGCCTGGGGGGGTTCCCCTCCCTGAGGTTATGTGTTGTGCCTTCCTCCTCTTCCTCCTCCCGGGGAGCTGCGGTTGAGCGGTCCCAGCCCGGGGGGGTGGAGAACACGGCAGAGCCCGCAGCAGCCCGGGGAGCTGGCAGGGTTCCCTCCGTGCCAGGGCGGTGGCTGAGCCGGATTGTCCCCGGGATGGCGGGGCACATCTCTGAGATGGCAGGGCCACGGGCGGAAGCGCGTCCCCGTGTCACCTCTGCCACCGCGTGGGTGGGGAAACTGAGGCAGGGCTGTGCCAACCGCCCCCCGCACACGTGTCGCCACCTTCACCGCACCCACTGCTGAGCCCGTGAGGTGCTCCAGGGTGCCCCGGGGCACGGTGGGTGGATCGGGGTGCAGGCTGGCTGCCCAAACCCGCTCTCCCTGCCCAGGTGAGCCTGTTCTCCGACCCGCCGCAGCCCAGCCGCAGCCTCGCCGTGGGCACCGTGGGCACCGGGAGCCGCGTGGTGACCCTGAGCATCCCGCAGGCACGGACAGCGGCTCTCGGCGCGGCCACAGCCCCGGCCTCGCCAGGTGCAGGTGTGTTGATCCTTATCCCACAGCCGCACACCTCGCAGGTGTGTTGGTCCGTGTTCCCTGCCCGCCTCACCGCGCTCCTGCCCCGGCTCTGGGGGGATTCTCTCCGCAGCCCCTTCCCCACGCCGGTGTCACCGGCGCTGCGGTGTCACTTGTCCTCCACTTGTGTTTTCCAGCAGCTGCAGCCCCGGCACCATCAGAGCAGGGGGGTTCACCCCAACCTCGGTCCCCTCCTGTGCCCGGGGGGGGCTGCCCCACCTGCCCCGGGCCGTGCTGCTGCCCCGGGCCCCGGCTCACCCGGGCCCTGGCGGGGCAGAGCCGCCGGCTGCAGGCACAGGTAAGGGCCGGGGCGAGGAGAGGTGCAGGAACGGGGAGCTGTGAGCAGGGGGGCTTCGGGGGGCTGCATGGAGAAGGGGTTTTGGGGAGAGTGCTGGTGGGGGCTGCAGGGCAGCAGAGAGGGGATTTGGGGGAGTTCTGGGAGGGACTATAGGGATAGGGATGGGGAGGCGCTGCACAGGGTGCTGGGGGCAGCTGCAGAGGGGGTCTGGATTGGAGGGGCTGTGGGGAGGGGAAGTGTTGTGGGGTGCCGGGAAGGAAGGAAAGCTGGGGAGGGGGCTGCAGTGGGGGATCGCGCTGGAGCAGTCCCTGGGGATGTTTCACATGGGGGGGTCTAGAGGGTGCGGAGCGGGGGCACAGCAGGGCCGGGCTTAGCCTGTACAACCCCGGCCAGGTGGAATCCTTCGAAAGCTGGCTGCGTGCAGGGACCCCCACCCCCTCGGAACAGCTCCAGGTGCGTCTGTCCCTTCCCGAACCCCAGCCTGGGGGGCAGCAGGGCCACGGGGGGTGCCCGCGGCCCAGTGGGCAGGCTCGGACCCCGCACCCTGTGCAGCAGAGGATGAGGATGCTGAAGGACGCGCAGGATGCGCTGGAGCGGGAATACCTGAGGGGCCGGCAGCAGCTCCCGGCAGCGGCGGGGGGGTTTGATCCTGACCGGTACGTGCTCGATCCTCCTGCCACCCCCTCCCCAGAGCCCCCGGGGGTCGCTGTCCCCCCTGCACTGATTGCTGGTGTCTTGCAGGGCAGTGGAAGGGGAGATTTACCGCCTGGGGCTGCGCCTGGAGGGGCTGAAGGAGCGGCTGGAGCCGGGGGGCAGGCGGCAGCCCCTCCCTCACCCCTCCCCGCAGTCCCTCCCTCACCCCTCCCCGCAGTCCCTCCCTCACCCCTCCCCACAGCCCCTCCCTCACCCCTCCCCGCAGCCCCTCCCTCACCCCTCCCCGCAGCCCCGCTGCCCCCCAGCCCCATCCCCACCACCGGCCGCCCACTCCCCGCACCCCGAGGTGAGCTGGGGGTGCAAAGGTTCCTCATCCCACTGCATTTATGGGGGTTGCCCCTCTCACCCCCTTGTGCTGTGCCCACAGAGCCCTGCGCTGGTGGAGGGTCCTCGAGGGACAGCAGGGGACAGCGACGGGGTGGCAGGGGGGCTGCCCTGGCCCCTCTGGCACAAACAGCGCCAAGTGGAGGAGGATTTCGGGGACCTGCTGGAGCAGTGAGTGCCCTCACAGCGGGGCAGGGGGGACACGGGCACAGAGCATGTCCCAAAGCCACTCGCTCCTGCCTGTGGGTCCCCCCAGGTACAAGCACTTCAAGTCCTTGCCAGAGTCGCTGAGCCTGGAGCAGCTGAGCCTGGCGGGGAGCGGGTCCCAGGAGGAGGTGGATGCACCCGCGGCGGGGGACGGTGGCCCCAGCAAGGTCCCCTGCAGGACACGGTCGCTGGAGGAGGAACCCAACCTCGACTCCTTGCCCTTGTAAGTGCTGAGGGAGGTCGGGTCCCCAGGGAGGGTGAGCAGGAGCTTTGACATCACGTCTCCAGTTTTACCTTTAACGGCCTCCACGGCAGAGCTGGACCAGGACATTTCCCCGTGCCTGGGGTTGCTCTGCCCCATCACTGCTGCTCCATCCCCTCCCCGCAGGCACCTCCAGCAGAGAAGAGCTGCGACGCTTCCCCCCAGAGGACCCCCAAACCTGGAGGAGACACGGGGCCAGCCCTCCCCTGTCACTGCTGAGGAGCCGCCAGCCTCTGCCAAGCCTCTGGAGGTCCCTGGGCCACCACGGGTGCCCCTGTCCCTCCGTGGGACAGGCAGCAGTGCCACCCAGCACGGGCCCCGCACGGTGAGTCCCTGGGACTGCGGGTCCCCACCTGAGATCACCCCAGAGCCTCCCGGGCTGCTGGACACCGACCCTGCTGTCCCCGTGCCTCTGCAGGAGCAGCGCATCGTGTCCCCAGAGACCGACAGCGGCTTCGTGGGCTCGGAGGCCAGCAGGGTGTCACCCCCCGTGCACACCCCCGAGCATCCTCCCCCTGGCCCGGGGTACGGCCCACGGCCCTGCTGAGGGAATTCGGCTGTGCCTGCGGGGTCTGGGGGATTGAAGAGGAGCAGGGATGGAGGGAGAGGCGCTGAGGGTGTGGGGAGCAGGGTTCTGGCGGGGCTGGAGATGTGCAGAGTGCCCGTGGCCGGGGGGAGCCCTGGGGGCTGCCCGCATGACCCGTCCCTTCCCCAGGACTCCGGGCTCGCTGGGACCTTCCGTCCCCATCCCCAGCAGCCTCCGTACCCCGCGGAAGAGAGAGACGAGCCCGCTTCCCTCCGAGACAGCACTGATGGGCATCTACCCGCCGGGGGGCACAGGGGGGCCCCGGCTGCCCCCCAGCAGCCCCTCTCAGAGCAGCTCCCCCCCTCGCTGGGCTGAGAGCGCGGGCAGCGAGGTGGGGCCGGACCCCGACGGTGATGGCAGTGAGTACACAGGACTCGGCGAGGGACGGAGATCTGGGGGGCCCTGGCTTTGTGGCTCTGGTTTTTGGGATTCCTGGACCTCCTCCTGGTGCTGGTGTCACCGGTGTGCTGGTGTCACCCTCCCTGGAGGGAGCTGTGTCCCAATCGCTGCTGTCTGATCCCAGCTCACTGCTCCCCTTCCTCCCCAGCTCGCACGGACTCGGAGGTGGGAGACAGGAGCTGTGCCAGCGCCGGTGGCCACCCCATAGCCATGGCCCGGAGCCCAAGCAGCCCCCTGCCATCCCCTGAAACGCCATCCCCCACCCTCCTGTCCCCCGACCCGCCGTCCCCCGACCCGGCTGCCTGTGACCTGCTGGGCTCCCGTCTGGAGCGCGAGTGAGTGGCTGTGTCACCCCGCCCCAAACCAGGCCAGACCCCCTTGGGGTGACACCGGGACCCCCCCCGGAGGCACCCACTGGGCACTGGACGCCAGCCCAACCCCAGGCTTGGTTCTGGGGAGGGTCACAGCTGCTGGGTGGGGATGGGGGATGTGGGAGGGGGTTGCTGGTGCTCCCCCAGGGCCCCCGGCACCGCTGGGGTCCCTGCTGGCTGCAGCCCCCCTCACTGGGCCGTGTGTCCTGGGGCAGCCGGGCCATCCGGGCGCTGCAGGACGAGGTGTGGCGGCTGCGGCTGCGGCTGGAGGAGAGCCTGCTGCACTCCCGCAGCCATCCCGGGGGAAAAGCCCCTTCCTGCCTCACCCCGGCCGGGAGGCAGCCGCTGGCCAGCGGAACATCGGCCCCGCAGGACGCGGCACCCTCGGGGTAGGTGGCAGGGGGCACCTGGGGGGTGTGGGGCGCAGCGTGGGGACAGCCTCAGCCTGTGGAGGTGGTGACAGTGTTTCTGTCCCCTCTGCAGGGACCCGAGCCCCCCGGTACGGGGCAGAGTGGCCCCCGGGCTCACACCCACGCGGAGGGAGAGGTCAGCATCACTGCCACGGGACAGGCCAGAGCTGGACCTCGGTAAGGGGGACCCCACTGGCATGGGGACAGAGGGGACATGCTCCTCCCTGCACGCCACTCGCCCTCCCCAGGGCGGCAGGATGGTGTGGGGCTGCAGGACCGTGGGGACAGAGGGGACACGATCCTCCCTGCGTGCCACTCGCCCTCCCCAGGGCAGCAGGATGGTGTGGGGCTGCAGGACCGTGGGGACAGAGGGGACACGCTCCTCCCTGCACGCCACTCGCCCTCCCCAGGGCGGCAGGATGGTGTGGGGCTGCAGGACCGTGGGGACCAGGTCCTGGTGGTCCCACGGAGCCCGCAGTGCTCAGCCCAGGGTGGGTCCTGCAGGCCTAGAGCTGGGTGCCAGTGGATGCCACCCCTCTTCCCTGTCCTCCGCCGCAGCCTCCGAGTCAGAGCCCTCGCCCGCCAGGCCCCGGGCACCCCCCGCCCTGCGGAAGCACCTTGGGAAGCCGCCGGGGCCGGTGACATCCCGGGGACAGCACACGGGTGACACAGGTGGGTGCTGGTGACAGTCCGTGGTGGGGCTGAAAGTGGCCACCCTCACCTTGGGGACCCTGGCCATGCTCACGCTGGGGTTTGGCAGGGACACGGTACCAGGCGGGGACAACGCGTGCCACCCCAGCACCCCGAGAAGAGCCGGGCACCTCGGGGTGTCCCCGATGTCACAGGGGCAGGATGGCATCAGGTGAGTGGTGCCCAGCCCCTTCCATCCTTCCCTACCACCCCTAACAGCTGCTAATGACCTTCATTAATTAACTGGAGAAGCTTAGGGAGGGGACAGACAAACCCGTTGCTCATGGCCTGAGCTCCCCTCACTGTCCCTTGGCCAGACCCCACTGTCCCCCAGGGGCACCAACCTGGGCAGCTCTGGGGATGCCATGGCCTCACGGGGGTCCTGCACGGGTCAAGCCCCCCTTGGCATCTGTGTCAGTGTGGGCAGAAATTCTGGGATTCCCTGGGTTTCCTGGTGTCACCGACAGCACTGTCACCTGTCCCCAGCCCTGTTGCAGGTGCCAGTGCAGAGCCCACCTTTGCAGACCCCCCTTTCCCTGCAGGGAAACCCCCTCCTCCCATCTCATCAGCCCCCCCAAACCCCTCAGCTCTTCCCAAACGTCCCTGGCTGGCTCTGCACGGGATGTTCCTGATGTCCTCTCTCCACAGCTGCATCTGGGGGAGGTGACACCCCCCGGCAGCCCCAGCACAGCACCCCCAGGAGAACGTCCTGCCCCAGCTGCCGGGCACCCATGGGCCCCTCTGCGCCGGGCAGCAGGGACACAGCCACACACGGTGGGTGACACGGGTGACACGTGCCTGGCACAGCTCCTCCCTGTGTGGGGGGACGAGGAACAACCTCAGCCCCCAGACAGTGCCTGGGGACTGTGCCCACCCAGTGGGTGATGGCACTGGGGCTGCCATGCCATGCGCACCCCTGGGGACACCGAACCCCCATGGGGACATCTAACCACCTTCCTCCCCGCAGCAGAGCGTGGTCCTGGTGGCTCCTGTCCCCCAGGAGCCGAGAAACCAGAGCAACCTGGAATTTGGTACTTGGCAGCCGCCCCTGCTGCCACCGCTGCCACCGTCTGCCTGGCACCCGTCCCCCTTGTGCCTTACGTGCCCTCCATGCTGTAAGGATGCCGTGGGGCTGGGAGGGGGCTCGGGGAGGGTCAGCATCCCCCAGGGGTGGAGGGGAACCCAGGAGGGGCTGTCCCCACCCCAGGGATCCATTGTGGGGTGACACGGCCACCAGCTCCTCTGGGGCTGTGTTTAGGGGGTGGTGCTGTGGGGTGGGCATGGAGGAGATGGGGAAGAGGGATGGGAATTGGGTGTAGTGGTGGCACAGAACCCATCACTGAGCCCGTGTCCCTTCTTCCTCCCAGCTACTGCTCCCCAGCAGCTCCTACCTCAGCCCCAGCCCTGGCCGGGGTCCCCCTGGCTGTCCCCGCGGGGCCCCGGCGGGCAGAGCGTCCCCCCCGGCCCCGGGGCCAGCAGCGCTGCCTGAGCCTGCGCCTGGAGGAGCTGGAGGAGCTGGACTGGTCCCTCAGCCGGGCTGTGCAGGCTGCCCGGAGCGCCCGGCTGGCCACGAGCCGCATCAGCCGGGCGCTGGCCGCCGAGCTGGGCCGGCCGCGGGGCCTGCGCGGCTCCTGCCTCTCCTGAGGGCAGCTCCTGCCTCCTCTGAGGGCAGCTCCTGCCTCTCCTGAGGGCACCTCCTGCCTCCTCTGAGGGCACCTCCTGCCTCTCCTGAGGGCACCTCCTGCCTCTCCTGAGGGCACCTCCTGCCTCCTCTGAGGGCACCTCCTGCCTCCTCTGGGGGCACCTCCTGCCTCCTCTGAGGGCACCTCCTGCCTCTCCTGAGGGCACCTCCTGCCTCTCCTGAGGGCAGCTCCTGCCTCCTCTGGGGGCAGCTCCTGCCTCTCCTGAGGGCACCTCCTGCCTCCTCTGAGGGCACCTCCTGCCTCCTCTGAGGGCACCTCCTGCCTCCTCTGGGGGCAGCTCCTGCCTCTCCTGAGGGCACCTCCTGCCTCTCCTGAGGGCAGCTCCTGCCTCCTCTGAGGGCACCTCCTGCCTCCTCTGAGGGCAGCTCCTGCCTCTTCTGGGGGCACCTCCTGCCTCCTCTGAGGGCGGCTCCTGCCTCTTCTGAGGGCAGCTCCTGCCTCCTCTCGGGGAAGCTCCTGCCTCTCCTGAGGGCAGCTCCTGCCTCCTCTGAGGGCACCTCCTGCCTCCTCTGAGGGCACCTCCTGCCTCCTCTGGGGGCACCTCCTGCCTC